CAATTGAAATGAGCTGTCTTGAAGAAAATAGACAAGGCACTTGAACCGAATATCTTTTTCTTAGCTAGTTGGCCTCATAAATAGTAGAATGCAAAAATTTGCACATCATACAGCAAACAGTAAAATAGAAAGAATAAATAAAATCAGCTATTCAAAGAATATGACGTATCGCTTTACATTATAAATATCCATGATTCTTTTCTTTCAATGACACCAATGATTTCGTGTCTTTTCGCCACTGCATAAAAGCAGTACAAAAATAGCAAGGCCTTCTAAAGATTATGTTCCCCCAATGCACATTTAATAATCACTAACCTTTCTGCTTTTCTTAAACCCAGCATTTAATATACATGATCATTTAGGTTTTGTTGGCAGATTTGCTCGCCTTATAGCGCACTGTAATTTCAAGAGTATAAAGCGATCTTATTACCATACTAGTTACGTAAAAAGCAGGAAATTATATTTAGGAACGTTTTCCTTAGAAAGACCTTAAAGCTTCACGTTTCGCAAAAGATTTGTATAGACTCTAATATCATCATAATATGGTTCAAAAACAATTCCACTTAAGTCCAACACAACAAAAAATGCAATTTATATGTACAAAAAATATAAATAAATTAACAAAACATTATGCTTGGGTAAACGCAAACGCGTTTAGCCATGCAATCTATACGGATAGAGACAATCTGAGAAATATATAATATACACAAAAATTAGTTCCTACGAAGCCACAGTCTTAAGTACAACATATCTGTACCTGAAAGGCATATCAGCAGAAATAAAAGTCATGAAGAAATCAGATGTTTCGTTACGAATGAAATTACGCGCAATTTGCGTCTGACTGTATGTGTGAATATTCCTAACATGGCAATCAACTTAAAATCATGCGTTACAGTTACAGATACATAGGTAATTAGTACATGAACTGTAAATATAAACACCATCGTCAAACGTTATGTAGTAAACCAGTATCAGAGTCCAATAGAGTGGCCAGGTCGTATGCAGCAACATCAGTAATGGAACAGGGAACCACCTAGCACTAATGTGTGTACCCTTTTGTATCGTTTGTCAGAGGAAAGTTATTATATATTGTTACCTTATACTTTTCATCGATTTTTACTCTATTTAAGTATTAACGTTTTACACCCCAAGGACCATCAGGATTGGTCACAGGTATGTGAGAAAATCCAGCAAATTGTGGAAATTCTACAACGCTAGCAGTGTTTGGGGCGCTTTGTTGTTGCTGTTCCCAAGGTCCTCCTTTCACTACAAAGCCGGAATTCCCGGAATTTCTTTCATCGCGTTGAGGTGAACGCAAATTTTCACGATGTTCATTTTCTATAACGTCCTGAATCTACAATTTAACAAAATTCATATCATTAAGTAAGAATTTTTAAATTGCACTTACAGACAATTTTTAAGATAACAAACATATTCTAAGATAAACTTACATATTCTTCCTCCAAGTTCAATAAACGATCCTTTGCATCAGCTACATTGTCCTCTGTACCCACAATTGTCACAATATTGGGATCGGAATCGGTTTTTCTTGGGAATTTAATATCCACTTTAAATTCGTCCATTATTTTACGGATATTTCTACCCTTTGAACCAATTAAACGTGAATGCACAGCAGCGTTTATGTTTACTTCTTCTTTTGTCAAGCCATTCTAATAAAAATAAGATACTTTGTCAGTAATTATCAAATTTTAAAGTAAAATATACATGGTGACACAAGTAATAAACTTACCAATTCATTAACAATTTTCATGATATCATCTCGTGCACTACAAGCATTCTTTTCATAACCAGTGATTGTAATGATATGTTCTTCAGGATCACCTTTACGTGGAAAGTTTATTTGAACATCATGATCACTGCGTATTTTATTAATCACGGCTCCTTTTCGTCCAATTATCTTTGGATGATATTCTGGATCAACTTCGATCTAAAATAATACAAATTACGTATATCATTTCTAAATGTTAATTTATCAGCATAAATGAATTTACCTTCAGCTCAAATGATTTTAAAGCTCTATCTTGTCGTTCAGCTTCCAATGCTTTGCACTTATCAAGAATAGCTTGTTTCGCATTTTCAACACACGAAGGTGTTCCGGAAATCTAAATAAAATATAATATTACTTATTGATGTTATGTTATATCATTTTCATATTGCACATTACATTTTACGTACCTTAATATAATCAAGTTTTTCTTCTGCTGGAGATAACATGATATGAACATCATATGTATTCATTAGTTCTCGTACATCACGACCTTTTTGACCTATTATAGAACGATGAAGATCAAATGGCACCTCTACCTAAAAAGGATATTACAATTCACGTAACTATTTTGTATTCGATGGTACCTAAATTTATTAATAAAAATACTAACTTCTATCGTAATCGGTACAAGATCAAGCAGCGCTTGTTTTGCAGCTGCTACATTCTCTGGCTGCCCAGTAATGCGAATGATATCACAAGCAGGAACAGTTTCGGCAACTTCTCCATTCTCACCATTCATTTGTTCAGTTACACGTTGTTCGTCTAAAATAGGAACATATCAATGAAAAATCGTGTAATTTCTTGTTAAAAGAAAATAGTATACACTGACCATATGTGTCTCGATCAGGGAATTTAATTTGTACATCATACTCAGATGTAATCATTTGTACTTTACGTCCCTTTGCTCCCATAACTGTACGATGATGCTTTTGCGGTATTATGCATTCTTCGGTTACCATAGATTCCTAAAAGATAAGGCACATTTAAACAATTCATTCATAAAATAATTGAGATTAGAAGAAGTAATAAGGATAAATATTAAAATATTTACCAATTCTTGTACAATTTCCCTCATTCGTTGCTTCGCCGCTTCTATGCATTCATGTGATCCCTTTAAAATTACCCGATCACTATCGACGCCAGCTCTTGGAAATGAAATTTGTACTCCACCACATTCATCTGCAATACGATGTAATACACCACCCCTTCGAGCTACGAAATGTCTGTGATGCTTCGGATCAATACGAATTTCACCTTCAGTAATATTATCCTGTAAAACAGATATAGTGTAAAAAATAATTTGATTTATACAATGAAAAATACTTTTAATTGAAAACAGATGTTAACATAATTAAATATAATGTGGAAGGCGAAATATAAATTAAGGAAAGCAAACGTTTTGGACTAGGTGACTGTTCGAGGTTTGATCGATAATAAGTATATTTTATTAGGTGTAAAAATTAATTGGATACCTTTTCTTACAAACTTCTATGGAAGACGACATACAAATCAATGTCAGGTTCAATATCGTCTCCTTTTTGTACTACGCTATTCGAGCCAGTGGAGGTCTTTTTATTGACGCGTTCCTCTCCCAAAAAAGCGGTTCATAGGAGTTCATAGGAATTCATAGGAGTCCATAGGAGTTCGAGGACCTTTAGCTTTTCCCACGAACAGCCTCAACGGATTTTGTTACAAATAAATACGCGTGAATCTGTTTACATTGCATGGCTTGACCCGCGGACGATTGGTGCTGTTATGCCATTGACAACCGCTCGCGAGTCTCTGATTTGCTCGCGGGTCGCCGACTTATGACAATACAAAATGCCTACAATAATAGTAAAGACTTACAATTTCGCTAATTGTGGCTTCAAGTTCAGCTTTAGCTTTTTCAACGGCCTCTTTTTTTCCCATAATAGTAATCACTTCTTTATCTTGATCTTCTTCCGTTGGGAATATGATACGTGCTCCTGTAGATTCTCTTATCTGGAATAAATGAAAAGCAATATTAATTAATATATAATTGCATAGTGTGATACATATTATTAGGTAACTGATGTATGGACCTTCTTAATATTGGCACCATTCTTTCCAATAAGAAATTTGTGATGTTGCACTTTGGCACGAACTTCAGCTGAATAACTGGACAATTGTTTCTCAGTTGTAAGTTCATGCAACTGTTGTTTCGCTTTTTCAACGTCTTCCTTTGGCCCTTTAATAGTTACCTACATACAGCATTTGTATATTTATATTAATATTTGTATTTTTAATCTTAATATTTCCAAATTATTTTTTATTTATTAAAGTCATTCACCTTATCACTTCGGCTTTCTGCTGTAGGAAATTTAATTGCAACACCACCGCAATCTTCCATGATACAATGAATTAATTTTCCACCAGTACCGATAAGAGAGTTATAGAATTTTGGAGGAATTACTATTTCATCCGTAACAATATTGGCCTAATGGAAAAAGATTATTTTATAAAAATAAAAATTAACAATTTCATATTTTTATAACAATGTACTATGTACTATGTTACCAATTACCAATTCATTTTGTATTTTTTGAATCATTTCTTTAGCTTTTTCTACATTCTCCTTTTTGCCTGTAATAGTTATAACATCGCTTTTCTCACCTTCAGCGGGTAAATCGATCTTAGTTTGTGTTTCTTCTCTGATCTAAATTGCACAATTCAAATAATAATCATATTCAATATTTAATATTTTATATATACAGGGTGTCTGTTTTATCTCAATACCGCGAAATATCTTTTAAGGAAGTAATGTTAGGAAAAAAATGTTTTAACAAAAGTTGTTTGGTATGGAGAGGGACGTTATGTGATGTAAATATTTTTTTTGTACCGGGTATGGTGGTGGAGATTTTAAAGTCAGTTTAATTTTTTTAAATGGAATGCTACATTTTTTTATACATAATATGATAGTGTATGTTAAGACGAATCTAACGAGGTGCGAACAAAGTCATTTCCTTTGATAAAACAGACAGACGCGACAGTGAGGAACGTATGGTGGTCCGGCTCCCGATTTTTCGCAATTTTACGACCTTCCATGACAGGAAATGACTTTGTTTGGACTCGTCTTAACATACACTATCATATTATGTATAAAAAAATATAGCATTCCATTTAAAA